GCTAATGCAGGAGTGGTTAACCTGGGACCTCTTCCAGATGTTGCTGAATTACATCTGCCACAGGTACATCCAGATTGGCTAACGGCAAAGGATGGTGGCAGCTGTAGTTCAACATCTGGAAGGGGCACAGCTTAGCCACCCCTGGCTTAAAAGCTTTTCCTGACATGGAGATGACGCGACAAAGTTTCACTTGGAGAGGGGTGGGGAAATGGATGAATCTCAAGCATCAGATAAAGCTGTAAGAGTCTTGCAGCAGAGGAACAAACAAATGAATGGAGGGTGTAATCTTGTTCAACAGGGGAGAGCTGAAGATCAATAGCTACTACATTAGATGCTGACCTGATTCATTACAGATCAGCAAGGGTTTCGGACTCCCAATTATTTAGCAATGGCAACAACTGAAAGTTTTCCTGCATTAAATCAGGCTGCTGGGACAATGTGGGGAGGCGGATGTGCTTTGTTTGAAAAGACTTGTTAGTTTTGTTCTGGCACCAGTCACAAATTCCTAGGCTCAGAGGCATCCTGTTCCTTAATTTTCAGCTTATGTCTACCCACCTGAGTTCAACCAGATTTCCAGATGTAGCATTTACATCAAGTAAAAGATCACATGAAATGTGGAAATTGTGGGTAAGGGAATATCAGGAAAATTGGGGGAGGGGGGAGTGCTGCCTGAATGCAGCCATACTTCCCACAACTCCATATTCTTCCATCTTCAACACTCAAAGGTGCCTCTTAGCTATTCTCCCAACTGCGCCAAAGCAGCTTTTTCACAAGCAGATGCTGTACAGCTGGCCTAGCATCTAAATCAAGAAGAGGGAACCTGTTGGATGCTGTTATGTACTGAGTTGAATAGGATCCAAAAGGCAGCAGTCTGATTGGTCCTAGAACAATAGGATCCAAAATGCAGCAGTCTGATTAGTCCTAGAACAATAAGGTCCAGAATGCAGCAGTCTGATTGGCCCTAGAACAATGCAGCAGTATGATTAGTCCGCAGGAGCCACCCAATCCAGCTCCAGGTGGAAGTGAATCCGCAACCTGATTGGCCTACAGGAGAATCCCAGAATTAGCCAATCACGTGCGGCCCATTGTGTAAATAATGTATATAAAGCAGATATTTTGGGGAAACTTTCATTCCTCACTACTATGAGCTGAATAAAGAGCATGAAATCCACACTTGACTCCGAGTATATTTCAGACTCCAACTCCCATCACCCCCAAGGCTGCATGTCTAAAGGTCAGTGATTTACATCAAGCTGCCCATAGAGTTGTGATGCAGCAGTATCTGGTGAGTCACAGGTTCCCCATTCTTGTTTAAATGATCCAACCATGTTGGTATGGACTGACTGCACAGTTCTTTCTACAGAATTAGAGCAATGCTGGGGTGGGGGGAGGTGCTGGCTGTCTTGGAATCAGTCCCTGCTCACATAGTGGGAAGCTATTGCCTACACAGGTTCTTGCTTTTCATACCACTACCTCTTTTACTCCACTTCCTTCACACATTCTGGTTAGCCTCCCTCTGCACCATGAACTGTTGTTACTTGTAAAGTCTATTCTCTCATTAGCTTCTTCCCCACTCCGTTCTGTAATACCCTTGACCTTTTCCTCAAGTTCATCTCTCTCTCTCTCTCTGTCTATATTGTTTCTTGAGCCTTCTTGCCTCTCAGGACCTCTTCTCAGCTTCCCTGTGTGAGGTTTTAATATCAGCCAAACTGACAACTTTCCCTTCCGTCACAGAAGGTGGATGATTTGCTCTCTGCTCAAGCAGCTGAATACAGTCATACCTCGGGTTGAATATGCTTCAGATTGAGCGTTTTTGGGTTGCGCTCCGCAGCGAGTGCTTTACTTCTGGGTTTACCCACGCAGATGCGAATTGCGTTCGCTTCAGGATGCGAATGGGGCTCCGGAACGGATCCCGTTTGCATCGAGAGGTATCACTGTACTGTACTCCAAAACCATCACATCATCTCTGTGTTGGACACTTCACTGACACAAGCACAATACAGAATTTGAGTAGTAGGGCTTACTTCAAAAAGTTTCATAAAAAGCAAAGGCCCACAAGAAAAATGTTGGTCTATAAGAAAATAAAAAGAAATCCACAATTGGGCGATCCCTTTCACAGATACAGTTATTCTTTTTTTAAAAAAAAAATATGAGGAGACCATTGCTCATTTATTCCAGAATCCTAGGTATGCAACCTGATATCTGCAGCACCTAGCAGAGACTTATTCAGCTTGCTATCTTCATATTGGAACAAAATAATTTTGGTTTTTCCTTATTTTCCCTTCCCCCACATTTTGTTGCATCTTGCCTGATGGAGACCTCTAGAGACCTCTAAAGCTTGCCACTATTTTGACAATTTGGTAATGCCTAATAAAGGTATGGCCCAACTGTGAGTTTTGGAGTTTTCCCAAAAAGTTAGTAGATGTCATTTGTACATTCCTTCCTAATACCTTTAACACCCTGCAGCTGTGTGTTTGGTAGAATTTATGCCTGGGAAGGGTTGTTAGCATACTAAATCATGTAAAGGCCAGAGAATTTACCTTGTCTTGTAGGATATAAATCAGAAGCCTGGTTTTGTAACAATGCTTTTTATCGATCCAGCTGAAAGATTAACTTCCTAGCCGTGCTATTTGCTTCCACCTCTTTTTTAAACAGAAATAAAATGTAAATAGCATCACTTTTTAGTCACCTTCCATTATCTTTCAGGAAAAGACTGCCAGTGAACAAGTCTAGACCTTTAGCCCCAAAAGGCAACTCAAACCAAAATAAGTTTTACTGGGGTTTACTCCTCAATAAGCATGCTTCGTTTTGCATCCTCTACTTTTGTGTGCTCATTTGGGATTATGTTGCACTGACTCAGTGGCCTAGTTTGCACATAATGCTAAATGATTGATTATTCTATGGTTTAGCATTATGTGTAAACCCAACTCAGCAGCTTAACTGTGGTTTATTAACATTGGGCATAGATTCCTGCATTTCAGGGGCTTGGACTAAACGGCCCTTGTGGTTCCTTCCAACTCTATAATGCCATGTTCCTAACCAAGGTTTATAGCTGGTTTGTAAACATTAGTCAATATTGGCCATAGCTTAGCAGTATATTCAAGCCCAGGCCTCCTAATTAACTATGATTAAGGAGCTGTCGCTGCCACAAAGCTACAGAGCCACAAGTAAAACCACTTTTAAGGCTCAGTTGCTCTTACTGGTGCTTTTAACTATTCTGTGACATAGTAAACCATGGGCTGAGTTACAGTTTGCCAGGTGCCTAACATTTAACTATGTTTCATGTTAACCATGGTTTAGTGTTGCCCACATATGAGGTCAGCAGGGCTTACTTTGGTGAAAACATGCATGGGAAGTTAAATTGGCTGACTTTGCAGCTTTAGTATCACAGAAATCCACCTTATATTGAGTCGGACCATTGGTCCATCTTAGTTCAGCAGGTCTGCAGTAGTGACAAGGAGCCCCACTTGCAAAGGAAGAATCAGCAGCTCACTTTAAGCTCCTCGTTGTCCTTTCATAACCTGGTCCCTGTCCAAACCTGCTCCGCATCTGATGTCATCAGGTGGTAATGGTAGTGTTGAATGGCCTTACAGACAGCAAGAGTCCAATGTTAGAAACTCAGATAAACAAGCTAGGCACAAAATGGCGCCTTAAACTAGGGTTACAGAATCCCGTTGTCATTTTTGGGCCAGACGGCTCGAAAGTCGTATTTTTGAATATGACTTTTTGGTTCCTGAAATTCATTCCGATTGTGCAGATAAAATATAACCGACGGCATTCCATAGGATGTGTTGCTAGTGTGTGAAAACAGTCCAGGTCCAAGGATCCCCAGGCATGCGCTTCCAGATGGTGGAGACGTCAGGCGCTATCCTGGCTCCCGGGCATCTGCATTTGGACACAAGTGGCTGATAGCCAGGTGCAGAATGTACCTGGTGAATTTCAAACGCTGAGCAAGACCCGTGCTGGAATGGAGATTCACTGCTGGTGGTCTACACTGACTGACAGTGTCTCTCCAGGATTTTGTCAGGTTACTCTCCTTGCCCTATCTGAACATGCCTGTGATTGAACCTGGGACCTTGTGCATGCAACATATGTGTATGTATGTATATACCATATTTTTCGCTCTATAAGACGCACTTTTTTCCCTCCTAAAAAGTAGGGAAAATGTGTGTGTGTCTTATGGAGCGAATGCAGGCTGCGCAGCTAAGCCTCCGCAGGGCAGCAGGGTGCCTTCATCCCGCTGCCCTCCGGAGCTTCGCAGGTTGTTCCAGAAGCCAGAACAGCGAGACGGAGCGCTGTGCAGTGCTCCCTCTCCCTGTTCTGGCTTTTGGAATAGCCCGTGAAGCCGCCGCAGGGCATGGGAATGAAGGCTCCCTGTGCCCTGCGGAGGCTTCGCACGAAGCTAGCTGCACTCCCTCTAGCTATTCTGGCTTTTGGATAGCCCCTGAAGCCTCCGTAGGGCAGCGAGATGAAGGCTCCCCGCTGCCCTGCAGAGGCTTCGCGCGGCTCTTGGGGCTATCCCAGAAGCCAGAACAGCAAGAGGCTATCCCAGAAGCCAGATCCCTCTTGCTGTTCTGGCTTCTGGGATTCAGAATACTTTTTTTCTTGTATTCCACCCCTCAAAACTAGGTGCGTCTTATTGTCTGGTGCGTCCTATAGAGCAAAAAATAGGGGTATATATTACACACACACATACCACTTAGCTTCAGGGATAAAAATTAGATGCCCACTGCTCCTGCAGCCAGTTTCAAGCGAGAAAAATAAGTAAAAGAACGTTTTTTTGTTTTTTTCCAGTGAGAGCAAAACATACTCATTTCCCAGACGCTATAAATCACAGAGCCTCCGGGAGCACTTTTTGAAAAGGGGATTATCTTCTTATCAGCCACCAGCTCATAATTGTAATAAACTGCTCTCCCCCCTTCCCCGCCCTTTAACCCCACGAGAGACAGAGAGGACTGAGGCTTGGAAGCCCTCGGCAGACTGCGTCAGCAAATACCTTTGCCGTGAGCTGATCAGGCAGCTCATTCATTGAACGCCTCGGCTGCGAGGCCAAAGAGTTCCGCTTACACGCATCAGGAAGGGGCCGCTTCAGCCCCAGTTGCGCCCGGGTGGCTGCGCGTCCGCGCAAGAGCCGCCCCTTCTCTGGCGCAAAGGTCTGGGGCTGGTGGGCGTCGCGATTGGCTCTCGGACCTGCGAGCAGCTGCGCGCCCATTGGCTGCCGGGCTTCCTTTGTTCCTTTCGCCGCTGCCGCAGGAGAGCGGAAGTTTGAGCGCGCTCGCTTGCAGCTGGAGCTGCCCGGGGCCAGCGAGCGAGCGAGCGAGCCAGCGAAGTGAGCCTCCCTGCGCTCATTTCCTTTCTAACCACATCCGACTGTCAGGGAGCAACAGCAGGAGGGAGGAGGGCATTTGTGCTCTGAGTGTCTCCCTCGCCCCGGATCTCGCGTGCGCGCGCTGCGGATCCAACATGGATCTAGAAAGCAAGATCAAGAAGGTAAGGAAGCAGCGCGCAACTTCAGCGCGGGCGCGGAGGGAGCGAGGGCGGCTAAAGTTACCTGTCCGCGCTGGCCAACGCCCCTGACACTCTTGCTTGCTGCCTGCTATTGTTCTCCTCCTCGGTTTGTAAGATCCCAAACCCATTTTCCCCCCACACACCCCTCTCCGTCTCAAGTTCATCCTTGGATAGTAGAATGTGCCTCCTTCGTAATATTGAAGGGGAGAGGGCGCTGCTGCAGAGATATTATTATTATTATTATTATTATTATTATTATTATTATTATTATTATTTTGCTACTATGCAAATAAATATTTTTTTGTTTTTAAAAGCATTGTCCCGGAGGGATTTGGCTGAGACTGTGGTTATCGGTAGGTTCCACAATCCTGGCAGGGCAAATCCTACCTACGTTTACTCAGAACTAGGTCGTTGTGTGTTTAATGGGGCGTACTCCCCAGTAAGTAGGTAAAAGTGCGTTCGATTCAGTCGGTGGAGCATGAGACTCTGAAGCTCAGGCTCATGGGTACGAGCCCCACGCTGGGTAAAAGATTTCTGCATTGCAGGAGGTTGGACTAGATGACCGCTGGGTCGCTTCCAACTCTACAGTTCAGTGATTCTATGAGTCTGGGAAAGCTGTGCCGAAAATAAAACCAAAAGTATACAGTAAAGTCTGAATGACAAGAGAAAATGGAGAAAATATTAGGCTCCTGTCCCTAGCACAATCTCCCGCTCCACCAGTCCTTCCAGGTGGTTTTTCCCCTCCCCAAAATTCAGATTCTTTGTTCTCTAGATATGCCCAAATATTACCAAACAGGAGTTAATCTGTGCTTGCTGTGATGGATTCTGTGTTAGTGTGTACAGTTCAATATGTACGGACAAGCAGATCTCTTTTAAGTGTTCTCTAGTTCTATGATGCACCGACATTAAAAGCAGTGCAACTCCCTAAGGCTTTCACCTCTTTTACCATTTTTATTCTGTAAGTTTAGGATGGAAACTTGAATCTTTGCAACACCTGAGCTGTTTGGAACGAAATACTCTGCATTGGTTACTCAGATTTGTTGGAGGAGGCAGGCTGTTTTAGAAAAGCCAAGTCTTAATTGAGTAGGCATTTTCTAAAGCTGGAGCAAAATGTGTGCTCAACTGAAGTAGGTTTGTTGCACGCTTTTATTCAATTTTATGGTGTGCATAGGTGCCAAAATAAGGTAGAAGATGGGGAAATAGAGACATTTCTGCTCTAGTCATTAATGACAGGAATTACTGTAATCTCTGACTTCTTGCTGGGATAGGCTCTACCTTAGAGAGGGCCAGAACATATGAACATTCTGGTGCTGTGGTGTTATTTAAAAGCAATAAACATTTTAATGTTTTTTTAAATCTTTTAACATTCTTATTATTGTTGATTTATTCTATTTACTTAATTCTCATTCAGCTACACAATCCACTTGGGTGCACCGTTGACCTGCTCTTAGTGGATCCCCACGTGTGCTCACATGATCCCCATCAGCAGCAAACCTTTCTCTGCGAAAGAGCACACCTTAGCTGTTATGCACCCTGAGCACGCACTCTTTGCTCTGTTAAGTTTAAAAGCCTATTGATAAACCACACAGATTATTGGAGGAAAGAAGGAAAGGTCTACACACTGAAGTCAACCTACTGTGAAGTTATACCACAGTCCTATGAAGTAAGCAGAGGCGGTTTTGGGTGGCCCCAACGGTTCGACCACAGGGGGCGCAGCACTGCAGGGGCGCCACAACAGTGCTGTAGAATAGGGCGCAAGTGGTGGAGAGCCCAAATTTCAGCATCGCACAGGGCGCCGCTGAAATTTGAGAGCCCAAAGACTGCCACTGAAGTATGTACGAGCTCCAGACCTGGGGAGCCTACCAGAATCTACAGTTGCTCCAGGGCAGCGAAACATCATGGTTCATGGCCTGGTGCTCAAATAGTTCTTCCATTTACTTTTTGTAGCCCACACCAGTGAAAGCTGATGAATAGATTGGATGTTGGTGTGCACTGTTGATGTATGCTAATAGTCTATTTGCGCAGCCTTAATTTGCTATTTCTTTTGGAAGAGTGAGAATATAAGAAAGAAGGGAACCTGAGCACTTGAGCCCCAGGCTGCATGTCCCTTACGTTGGCCTAGAGTAGCCTTCCCCAGCCTAGCACCCTTCAGATGTTTTGGGCCATAACTCCCATCATCCCTGACCATTGGCCATGCTGACTGAGGTTGATGGGAGTTGCAGAACATCTGAAGGGCATCAGGTTGGGTGAAGGATGAGTTTCAGGTCCCAATGCCTGGCTCTGGCAGCACTAGCAATAGTCAACAATGTTTGGGCAACACGATGATCATATACATACGTAATAGACAATCTTTATAGAATTCTTTCCAACAATAACAAGTTCAAAATGAAATCTTAGACTCAAAGTCTCTGAAAGCCTTTAAATGAAGCGAGGTACCAAACTTTGCAATATAATGTCCAACAGAGTTTCCAACTTTGTAATATAATGAACAGAGATTCCGGATATTGACTGCTGTTTTGTAGATCTTTGTCAGCGTGGTGGGAGAATATAGAATTGTTTTATAAAGGTAAAGGGACCCCTGACCATTAGGTCCAATCATGGCCGACTCTGGGGTTGCGGTGCTCATCTCGCTTTATTGGCCGAGGGAGCCGGCTTACAGCTTCTGGGTCATGTGGCCAGCATGACTAAGCCGCTTCTGGCGAACCAGAGCAGCGCACGGAAATGCCGTTTACCTTCCCGCCGGAGTGGTACCTATTTATCTACTTGCACTTTGACGTGCTTTCGAACTGCTAGGTTGGCAGGAGCAGGGACCGAGCAATGGGAGCTCACCCCCTCGCGGGGATTCGAACCGCCGGCCTACTGATCGGCAAGTCCTAGGCTCTGTGGTTTAACCCACAGCGCCATCCGCATCCCTAGAATTGTTTCATAAACCCATCTTATTTCGAATGAATATATGTGAATGAAAATATAAAATGCTGTGGAGCAGTGCTCATGTATAATGTAGTCACTGCTCAGCATATATTCATTGAACTTGTTATTGACTGAAAGAATTCTATAAGGATTGTCTATTACGTATGTATACGGTCATCATGTTGCCCAAACATTGTTGACGTTCTCTTTTGCAACACAGGGGTTTGTTTGGATACTTATTGTAGCACCAGAAATAGGCCAGATTGTGACTGTTTCTCCAGGGATACCAAATGAGTCCATGCAGAGCATGGACTTGGGCTTGAGCTACCAGACTCTAAATGCAACAATTATTGTGTCACATACCTGTACAACTCCATATGCACCAACGCCAACCAGTAAACTTCTGAACTTTCAGTATAAATAGTTTGAAGCTGCGTGAGCCATCTCGATAAATGAAAGAGAGGGGAAGTTTCTTAATATCCTGGTTAGCCAGAACTTCACATAGGATGGTGGTAATTTTGCACAAAAAGGAATGTATATTCACTGGAAACATGATTACGGAAGGAGTATAATTAATGGATTCAACTTTATACTCATGCATTTCTTCAAGAACGTATATAATCTGCTCCATATTAGTTTTTCAGATGTCACTGCTTCTCCTTTAGTATATGAAAGAGGTCTCAGATAATTGGTCAGTGTCACACAAGTGAAAGGAACTCCAGGAAACTTGCTGATGTTTTTTGTGTTGCATTCAACTTCCAGTGTCTATGGCTACAAGCCAACTTTTTTTGTGACACTTCATAAAGGTACTGTATATTTAATTGTTGCCCAAAAGGCCACTTTTAAGGGCAGTTTAAAACTTGTGCTGAAAGTGATAGCTTAGCAACATAGCTCTTTCCATCATCATATATATCTTCAGAATATTTTACATGGAAGAATAAATGTATGCTTGCTTCTTTGATGTTACAATTAGCAAGCATTAGGCTGAAGTAGTCAATCTGTTGTCCAGCTTTTGTTAACACACACACACACACACACTCTCTCTCTCTCTCTCTCTCTCTCTCTCTCTCTTTCTCTCTTTGAGGAAGTATGACTCTTTCAGTTAGGTTTTGGGATTACAGAAAATTATAAGAGACCACATATCTGTCATTTAAACAAATCTGTTGAGACCCTGGAAAATGTTTTCAGGTGGGTATCTTACCTGCAGGAGTGTGTTATACAGTATACAGTGGTACCTTGGTTTAAGAACGGCTTAGTTTATGAACAACTTGGATTAAGAATGCTGCAAACCCGGAAGTAGGTGTTTTGGTTTGTGAACTTTGCCTTGGAATAAGAACATGTTTCGCTTCCTGTTGAGTGTGTTCCATTTGTAAATCGAGTCCCCCACTGCTATGGGAAAGCACACCTTGGTTTAAGAACGCTTTGGTTTAAGAACGGACTTCCAGAACGGATTAAGTACCTAAACCAAGGTACCAGTGTACAAGAATAGCTGTTGTTGTGGAGAACAAGAAACTGTGTCCAGGCCTTGGCCATGAACAGAAATTTGTGAATGATATATTTACTCTCTTACGCAGCCATCTGCAACCTCTTTGTTTAGGAATAAATGGAAATAAATGTTTATGAAAGATTTAAGAGATCCCGTTCCAGAAGAAGATAAAATGTAGTAAGGATAAACACATGCCAGTGTTGGCATAAGCTATGTGGTAGTTGTATAAGTATCGCTGTAATCTGGAGGCCAGAAAAATAGAAGAGAACATGTAGTATGTTGGTAAGAAACTCTTCTTCATAAACGTTGTCCCTGCCATCGGTTGGAACCAACCCACTTCCTAAATTTTAAGAAATTTAATGTGAGGTGGATTAATCCGTTCCAGTTCTGGCAACTGAACACATCCTAATAGGCAAAACTGTGCATCCCCTTTGATCTCAGTGATGCTCTTTGGTAGTTCAGACCTGATGAAAACTGACTCCATTAACTGTGGCCAACAGAGAGCTTTGATGCTCTGTGATTTCAGGCTTCCTGATGCAATGGTGAACATAAATATCAGGCTTGAGACCTTCTTCTCGTTACCTGATCTTGTGTGAAATCTGAAGACCTGTGGAAAAGTACATCTGAAAAACATCCATCTGGTTCTCCTATCTTTGAAAGCAACCGCTTTGCTCTCTTCATAAATTCCATAACTTGGTTTTCTCGCTGGAACATACTTTACCTTAATTCAAAGCCATCCTATGAGCTGAATGAGAATGTACTTCTATAATTATAGCTCTTAATTGCTTCATAGAGCATGTTCATTTTCAAAAATGACATTGCAGACAAAGGTGGCTACTTCTTTATAGATGTGGTGCACGCTTCATTTTTTTAATCAAGACTTACTCTCTGGTTCCACACAAAAAAGAACAAGAGAAAAGTAGCTGGGAAGACAGTAATGTGGTGGGGGAGAAATTAGGAGCTCTTCAAACAGTTGTTGAAGACATTGCATCAAACTGGAAATGAGAAGGATTCAGTGGTAAAGAGACTATGTGATATACAGGCAATCATCCTTTATTATTTCCCTTCTCATGTTTCCTAGGATCACATTTTAAAGAATTTTCTGAGCTGCCTTGAATATACAAATGAATAAATATAAGTTTTGTGTTTGGTCACTTCCTTGCTGGCTCTTTTTATTTTTTAAAAAAGTTATTCCAATGTATTCCTATAAGGTACCTTTCCTGTGGAGGGATCAAGGAATACCTGCACAAAACTCAAGATGCAAATGGAAACATTAAGAACAGGGTAGCCAGTGTGGTACCCTTCGGATACTGTTGGGCTATAACTCCCATTATTCCTAACCATCGGGCAGGTCTATGAGCGCTGGAGTCTAACAACATCTGGCAGCACCACATTATCTCCCTTTGATTTGAGGATTCGTAGGCCTTCTGTATCCCAGAAAAGCAACTTTCTAACATTGCAACCCTTCACATATCTACTCAGAAGTCTCAATGAGTTCAGTGGGGCCTATTTCGAGGTAAGCAGGTATATAGGATTGCAGCCAAATTTCTTTGAATGTCTCCATGCTTACATTGAAAAGTTAACCTGAAGCAGAAAGGTTAGAAGTGAACTCCTAGATACTAAAGGCCTCTTGGGTTGTCTTTATTTCATCTGTGGGTGAATAATGCAGCGAAGAGAAATGGCAAGATATTTATTTTGGGTATGTGGTAAAATGGGATGAGATAGGGAGGTAAGATGATAGACATGGCATCTGTGTGAGATTTCATGTCCCATAAAGAAGGGTTATTGGTTCTTGACAATGAGCTTGAAATAAACAATCTCTGAGAAAATCTTCTTCTGCCTGCCCAGAATAAATTGCTCATAATTCTCTTACCCAAATCCTGAGTGCCTCAGAGGTTAGAGCTTGAGTAATTGCAAAATACAGTCTTAATGCCTAATTCACTGAGTGCATTCATGTGCCAGGGATGCCTTTAACATTAGGCTAATCTTTCCCACATATACAACTGCTACCTGATTTTATCTCTTTTTATAGATAGAGTCATAGAATTGCAGAGTTGGAAGGGACCCTCAGGGTCATCTAGTCCAACCCCCTGCAATGCAGGAATCTCTGAGTATAATGCTATGTGTTTGACGGAGGTTGTGATTTTTCCCAGTGTCTGTCTTTCCCATTAACTTCACCATGGAGATGCCGAGAGCTATACAGTTGGTGCTTTATTGAGCCCCTGTTAGTTAAACCTTTGTTCCGAGTTAGAATTCGCTCTGCCCTGTCTGTGACATCGGTGAACTCCATAAAAACGTGTCAGTAGGTCACTGCCTCGCGGTCCCATTTGCATGCTGTGATCACATAGTTTGCCTCAGGAAAGGAGAGGCTGGCACTGAAGCAGAGAAATTTGCGTCCTTTTGGAAAATAAGGGGGGAACATTCCCATTCAGACTCTTTAAAGAAGAATGGTATGTGTCTGCCTTTTTTAAAAGGGGTTTTTTGAGAGGAGTTAAATTCTGGGATGTGCCTGAACAATGAAAATAGGGAATGAGACAACTTGCTAAAAATCCTGTATTGCAAGCAGCACTCACTTTATATGCAGAAGTAAAAGTTTCTGCTCTGTTCGTTTACTGCAAAGTGCCACTTGGCATTTCTTGCAGGGCATTTCTTGATCCTTGTTGTTTTGCGGCGGCTGCCTTGGAAACCAGTTCAGAGTGAAAATCAACATCCAGTCACCATTTCAATAAATCTTCCCAGTTCAACAGACCAATTGAAAATGGGACAAAATGGAAAAAGTCCTGGGTTGTTTTTTTTATAACAGGACAACATTCTCAGCCATTCGGGTAATTTTGTACCAGCGAAATTAATTCTATATTTTGTAATTGTCAAAATTGCTAGTTAGCAAGATAGACCAGAATTCCCTTATATGTGTGGGAATTCTCTCAAAGATGGCCTGGGTAGCTTTCTGTGTGGGGCAGCAGGGGGGCAGGAAACATAAAGTGACAAAATCAAAATGTAAAGCAATAAAATTAAATAACACGTTTTAATACCAGCTAGGCCTTAATAATCGCCTTTTGTCCATTAGAAACATTTCTAACCTCTTGCACTGGTACTGTGTTTCATTGCAATATATGATTTTAATACACCTATTGAGGCTTTATATACATTCCCTCGGTAGCCCTTAGAACAGCCCTGTAAAACAAGCTAATATGGCTATCCCCATTTTATAGATGAAGCTGAGAAGTGGTGGTTTGCCCAAGGCTTTCCCAGTGCTGAGCGCAGGTTTGAACCAGAGTTTTCCCAATTCATAGCTCCCACTCATTCCCAGTGTGGTGCACCAGGCCTGACGTGCACATGGGATTCCCACACAAGGAATAGCTTCTTTGTCTGAAACAAATATTTGCATGCATCCCTGTCACTTATGCAGACCTATTTCCATAAATAAAGTCAATGGGAAGCCCCACCATGATTTGTGTGCACTCACAAAGCATGGACCAGAGATACTGGGCTTAAGATGCCTGACAGCGTTCTTCTTTTATGTATCATCTGTTTGGAAGAATGATGAAAAAGTGAAGCCTAAGTAAAAGCAGTTCCCTGCTGAATTTGAGGCTTCTTGCTGTTCCCTGTCTCCGTCAGCCAATCCATGTTGCCAGTACATGTATGGTCTGGTGCCAGCTAGCTATGCATATGGTCTTGTTACGGATAAATGTTAGAAGGGTTTGGTTAAGGCCGCAGTCACACTGAGGCTCACCTACACGAAAATCTCCTGCGCATAATAGCTGCTGGTTCCGACAGCCGCTTAAGTGTTATAATATACAGTGGTACCTCGGGTTAAGTACTTAATTTGTTCCAGAGGTCCGTTCTTAACCTGAAACTGTTCATATATATATATATATATGTATATATATATATATTAGTTTTCCAATATAAAACTATACAAAACAAAACATCCAATTTATCACCAACATCTTTTTTTTTACTTCCATCAACATGTCTGATAATTCTCCGTCTTAATCACTTCTTGCACATTTCTTAATTTAATATTGCACTACAATAATATCTTAATTTACCATATTTTTAAAACAATATTTCTACCATACATTCTCACAGAGCTTCCTGAAAGCTTACAAACCTTATCTGGTCATCACATATAGTTTTCATATAATCTGTAAATTTAATCCAGTCTTCAGTGAATCTCTGGTCTCGTCGGTTCCGGATCCTTCCTGTTAATTTATCAAGTTCTGCATATTCCATTAATTTCATTCTCCATTCTTCAATCGTAGGTAATTCTTCTTGTTTCCATTTTTGGGCCATTAGTATTCTTGCTGCCGTTACTGCGTATAAAAATAACTTCCATTCTTTCTTATTAATTTCATTTCCTATTATTCCTAATAGAAATGCTTCTGGGTTCTTAACAAATGTATATTTCAACATCTTTTTTAACTCATCATATATCCTTTCCCAAAAGCATTTCACTTTTTTACACTCCCACCACATATGGTAAAATGTTCCTTCTTTTTCTTTACACTTCCAACATTTATTACTTACTTTATGCATTTTTGCTAATTTTACTGGTGTTACATACCATCTATATATCATTTTCATCACATTTTCCTTTATTATAGTACACGCAGTAAATTTCATTCCTTCATTCCACAATTTAACCCAGTCTTTAAATTGTATATTGTATCCAAAAATTTTGGCCCAATGGATCATAACCGATTTAACCTCCTCGTCCTTTGTATACCATTCCAATAATAATTTATACATTTTAGACAATTTTTTTACATCATTATTCAATACTTCCAATTGATATTTTGATTCCTTGTCGGTAAAACCTCTTTCTAATACATCTTTTTTAAACATTTCATTAATCTGAAAATAATGCAACCAATCATTTACATATTCTTTTACTTCAACATATGGTTTCAGTTTCCATTTACTTCCTTCTTTCATTATTAAACTCCCATATGTTATCCACCTCCCCCTCATATTGATCTTCTTCATACTCATCACCTCCAACAACCTGAAACTGTTCTTAACCTGAAGCACCACTTTAGCTAATGGGGCCTCCCGCTGCCGCTGTGCCGCCGGAGCACAATTTCTGTTCTCATCCTGAAGCAAAGTTCTTAACCCGAGGTACTATTTCTGGGTTAGCGGAGTCTGTAACCTGAAGCGTATGTAACCTGAAGCGTATGGAACCCGAGGTACCACTGTACATGTAATTTTCAGAAGGTCAGTTCCACTCTGCTCATAGAGAGGGCAGTGTCCCCCACATCGTGTGAGCTCCGCTCCCTTCCAACATCTGCATTTGGCAGGGCATTGAAAAGGGGAGCCTCTTTGTGTATATTTCCCCATTATTACTACTACTTGTAGTCGTCTTCTTTCTTGGCAATCACTCGTAGCCAAGTAAGATAGTAGTACCAGATGACTGGGTTGCCCCAGCTGCTCTGGGTGGCTTCCAGCACATATAAAACCATAATAAAACATCACACATTAAAAAGCTTCCCTATACAGTACAGGCCTTCAGATGTCATCTAAAGATTGTATAGCTACTTGTCTCCTTGACATCTGATGGGAGGACGTTCCACTGAGTGGGTGCCACTACTAAGAAGGCCCTCTGTCTGGTTCCCTGTAGCTTCGCTCCTCGCAGTGAGAGAACTGCCAGAAGGCCCTCGGTCCTGGATCTTGGTGTCGGGCCAAAAGAACAAAGAATATCCACTTGCTTGTATCTGAAGGCATCTGTGTGAGCTTGTGCATCTTTGCCTCGGTTTCTCTTCACCACTACCCGTGGGTGTTCAAGATATAACACTAGATTGGAGACTACTGGCAGTCCTTCTCAGGCCAGGGACATTTGCCAGGGGCAAGAGGAATTGTGGGCACCTGCTCATATATTCCTGATGTTGTGTCTCTAAGAGTCTAGATGCACACCTGGTTGACACAAGGATGCCAGCATATGATGCCACCATGTCCTTTTGCAGCAGAACATGTGACACTGTCATTGTGGCTGCATTCTGTGTGTTGGCCACCATTATATTAAGTGACAGGTGACAATTCCTCTCAGAATTTGTTCCTCCCCACCCAGTAATTTCCCCTGCAAATCTTAGCCTCCAATAAGAACATGCAACATATGAATACATTATTTGATGGTGCAGATCTTCTTCTTGAGAGGGAGAGATGATATTCAGTACTTCTGTTTCCCCAGACATTTGATTGGCAGCAGCCAGGAAGCTGAGGTTTGGTCAGTGCTCTTTAATATAAAAGAGAGCCAGCTTTTGAGTCCCCAGAAACATTCCAAGCTGATTAAAGCAAGATTTCCTTTTCAAACATGAGCCCGGCCTGCAACCATTTATAACACTTTGCTCTGAAGTAATATTTTAGTCGTGAAGGCATTGTGAAGCAGATGACTTCAATCAGTAGACTTGTAATGCTTTTCGTTCGCAGACTGCCTTGAAATCAAACTGGGCGTATTTGAAATGCCAGATGTTTTTTTAGAATTTTTAGCAACTGACATCCAGAAACCTCTTCTTGGCTACATTTCAAATGACCTATGTGTCTTACTTTCTTCCATGATTCCATTTATGGATAAATTGATTCCATCCTCTTTAAAAAAAGAAGAAGAAAAAGCATGCAGGCAGATTTCTTATACTTTTGAGTATTGAAAGGCAAGCTTGGTGTTCAGTCAGAATTCCACACAGGTGTAAAGCATTATTTAGCAATTGCAATACACACTTTTGGGTAAGTGGTAATGATAATTATGAATATTATGTCTGAAACCCTTTCACCTTGAAGCTTGCTGCTTTTACTTATGCAGCGGCAAAAGCCTGTGTCCCCTCATGAAAAGCCAGCCAAAGGCTTACAGCCCATTACTCATTTTCATGAAAACTGGCCATTTCTTTTCTGCTCAACAAATCTGCTTGCTGAAGCACTCTTGCAGAACATAAATTTCATGTGGTCTTTTCTTTCTATATTGATAGAAACGTAAGGCTGTTGTCACACCAGGCTGTTGCCTAGTAGCCAGTAGGTGGTCAACTCCAGCAGGACAAATGTCTGGCAGGCAAGCAAGGACCGCTGGTGGCAGGTGGCCCAGGCGAGCTGTTCCAACAGAGGCAGGAGGTGTTACATAGTGGCTTGCTAAACCGCTGGAGGGGGAACCTGATTCAGTAGGGCTGGGCGAGATCTGGTTTTCATCATCGCAATACATCACCAGCTAAACATTGTGATATACCGATATATCACGATGTCTGAAATAAGAATGGAACTATGTAGAGGTGAATGGTACGGTTGGGTGATATCTGGTTTTGAACTTTGTGATATATCGCCAGCTAAACAGTGTGATATACTGAAATATCTCAATGTCTGCAATACGGATAGACCTGATTTTCAACTTTGTGGTGTATCACCAGCTAAACATCGCAATATACTGATATATCACAATGTCTGAAATAAGGATGGAGCTCTGTAGAGGCATTGGCTGGCTTCACGGTTTATGCCACATTGTGATATTTGCCTACCACACCCGCACCCACATCATGATTTGCAATATATTGCCAGGTCAAGAACTATGACAATGATACCACAATATGGACTTCAAACTGGTTTTGGACGATATATCGATATATCACCCAGCCCTGGTCCAATCATATGTTTCTTATTTCAGTGTCCTGCTATCACTACCGCTATCACAAAGCCAAATGCATTAAAGAGCCAGCTGCTATTCAGAAATTACAGGGCTAGGAAGAAAGGTGTGAAGCTTCCATGATGCAGCTCCAAGTGAATTATCTTGTTGAAAGTTGATATCTCCCCCTGCCTATATCTTAGATTTTTGGAAGTTTGCCAGTTGAAGCACTCTAAAAATAATACTATGTGCCTTGGGAAATATTTTTTTAAAAAAACTCTGTTGTTGTTGTTTTTTGTTTTCTAGATGGGCTTAGGACATGAAGAAGGATCAGGAGCCCCTTGCTTGAAGTGCAAAGACAAATGTGAAGGATTTGAGCTACATTTCTGGAGGTAAGAGGAGAGGTTTCCTGATTTACCGAAACATTTCTATTGCAGATAAGCATATCTGCACAACACAGGCCTCATTTGGCCACAAACTGACTCATTCAGACATGAACTTAACTACATCACACATATGGACAAAATTGGGAAAAATTAACACATGAAGGAATTGATTCTGATTAGAACAGCAAGCATTTTCAAGGATATAAGAAAGACGCCATACTATTCACTGCTATCGTGCACACAACTTGCCTGTGGGCTTTTCACAGGCTACTATGAGAACAGAATACTTGGCTAGGTGGACCTTTGGTCCCATGCAGTAGAGCATGGGTAGGCAAACTAAGGCCCGGGGGGCGGATCCGGCCCAATCGCCTGTGGACAGTCCGGGAATCAGCATGTTTTTACATGAGTAGAATGTGTCCTTTTATTTAAAATGCATCTCTGGGTTATTTGTGGGGCATAGGAATTCATTCATTTCCCCCCCAAAAAATAGAATCCGGCTCCCCACAAGGTCTGAGGGACAGTGGACCAGCCCCCTGCTGAAAAAGTTTGCTGACCCCTGCAGTAGAGCTCTTAGATTCTTATGAGCATATAAATAAAATGTGGGTTCAGGCAAGCCAGGGCCAGTTCACCCATGAGGAGAGTTGAGACCGCCCCAGGCGGCAGGGTCTACCAGGGCAGCTAATCCCATTGTTGATTTTCCTTTCTTTCCCTTACCCACCCTTGTTCCTGATGTGGTTCTTCCCTGACCCCCTTCATCTCTGGTGGGGAGGGAGGATGCCATTTTGAGGTCTGCCTCAGATGCCAAAATGTCTTGGGCCAGCCTTGAGGCAATTTAATGCTGTGTACAGTTGCTTACTTAGAAGTCAGATGATTTCCATTGGGCTTGCTTCCAATGAGAGTACAGTTTTGACTGTACTGTGAAGAAATGCTACCGGTGCTTGGTGTTGCTATAGAATTTAGCCAAGGAGCCAAATGTGTTGATACTGCTTGTCATGGATTGAACAGTCTGGGAATTTCTGCATGAGGTGTCGCTCCTCTGACCCCTGCTGGGCTACCTTGTCTCCCTTTCCAAAGTGTGTGTGTGGAAGAATCATCTTTTATACAGGTACCAAATCCTTGTGATGTCTGGGACGCTACCTATGAACCCCATCTTCCAGTTAATTACAGCTTGTAAGCAGTATTGTGGGACACGGGTGGCGCTGTGGTCTAAACCACTGAGCCTAGGGCTTGCTGATCAGAGGGTCAGCGGTTCGAATCCCCGCGATGGGGTGAGCTCTTGTTGTTCGGTCCCAGCTCCTGCCAACCTAGCAGTTTGAAAGCATGCCAGTGCAAGTAGATAAATAGGTAAACCTTCCGGCAGGAAGGTAAACGGTATTTCCGTGCACTGCTCTGGTTCACCAGAAGCGGCTTAGTCATGCTGGCCACATGACCCAGAAGCTGTATGCCAGCTCCCTCGGCCAATAAAGCGAGATGAGTGCCGCAACACCAGAGTCATCCACGACAGGACCTAATGGTCAGGGGTCCCTTTACCTTTACCTTTAAGCTGTATCGTGAGCTTTATTACCATTAAGGATAAGAGGTAAGGGAGAATAATGAAAAAAGGAAATAAAATAGATTCCTTTCTAAATAACATACACTAGATGAACCTCTTTGTGGGTTAGGGCATCGTCATTATTACCACCAGTTCCATCTCTCAGGCATGCACCACTGTCGCTATAAGAGAACAAGGGAGGCATTTGTGGTGAATTTCAGCACCTCTTTTTCTAGAAAAACGGGACTGATTACCACCACTGTTGTTACTGTCACCTTTTTCCAAAGTTGTTGAGCAGGGGGACCCTGTGGCCGAGGCATTATTAGTATATTAAATTTATATTTTGCCCTTCCTCTTCAAAGAAGCCCAGGGTGGCAAACAACAACTGACAAAGCAATAAAAAATTAAAACAATTCCAATACAGGTGCAGGCTGTGGAAAAAGCCTGAACTAGAGGAAGGCATGTTGGAAGAAGAAAGTATTCAGTAGGTGTCAAAAAGAGAACAGAGACGGGATCTGTCGAATATTGACAGGGAGGGAGTTCCTAAGGGTAGGTGTCAGAGCGCTAAAGGCCCGATTTGTATATTGTGTGGATGGTCCTCTTGATAAGATGGTACCTGCAAGAGGCCTTCACCTGCAGAGTGCAGTGATCAGCTGGGAATATAAGCAGTGAGATGATCTTTCAGGTCATCACCAATAATCATCATCTTCTTTTTCCTGATTGTTCCCAAGGGTTGTTTTTACTGGGGGGGGCACCCATTTCAGATTCACCATTACTGTCCTCACCTTTCCCCCCTGTCTGGGCAACAGCAAGAAGTGTTCCCAAGTTGTCTGGGGAGCAGGGAGCACAGTGCAAAAGCAGAAACATAATTATCATTTCCTCTAATTTTGAGACAGTCGCATTTATTAAGGTAAACTAATGGGTGGGGTCCTGAAAGGGCTGCACAAAGGGCCCCACAGATCATAATCCCACCACTGAAGGTACATATTTTTAAAATACATGAATCAGCATCAGCATTATTCCAGCAGACTGAATAAACACAAGACTCTCTATTCAGATTAATAAAGTCATTGGCTCGGAATTGTGATGATGGGAATTGGTGTGCATCCCAGGTTGAGCTCTGCTGAATCTGCCACCTTTCCCATTTCAAGATAAACTGTAGCCAGAAGGTTGGTGGTTCAAGTCCAACCAGGGCTGGCTGTGGCCAGGATTCCTGCAGAATGACCCTCAAACTCTGCAATTCTATGGTTCTACGTATATGTATTTATACATGACATATTGTTAAAAGAAGATCTCTGTTAGCTTCTCTAAGTGTGAAGGTAGTTTGTCAGGAATTTCAGAATGACCAAACCTAGACTCCCCCCCCCCGCAATTCCCCCCCACCCAATAGATAGATGACCCAGCAAATATATGTGCACGAACGTCTCTGAAAAGCTTTCTGCAAAACAAATATGCCTTTAGGGTCTGCAGTACAATTATGTTCTTTTCCACTAGATGGGAGTGTAACATCTGTGTGAATATCAAGCCAGCTGTGAGTGGAAATCTGTTACACTGGAGCATTCTTGACATACCTGCCGGAAAATTCATATTGCCACTATGTAAAAACTATGGATATTGCATGTCTCTTATTGCATGTGACCTTGGCACATCTAGTGCAATGTTCCGGATCATATTCTGCAGTAACATGAAGCAACTGGTTCAGATCCTGACCTCTGAAGCAGGAGAAAGCAAGTTTGTTCCATCTTCCATGTGACAACCCTTTAGATATTTGAACATGGCTATCATATCTCCTCATAGTCTCCTCTTTACCAGGCTAAACATACCCAACTCCCTCAGCCATTCCTCATAAAGCTTGGTTTCTAGGCCCTTGGTTGTGCAACCGTGCAGATTTCTTCCAGAGAGTCCTGAGGGATAAACTTCCCACGTGGTATGTCCATTCTTGTATTGAAGCAGCAGACCACTGATCTATCCAGCTCAGTATTGTCTCTGAGTTATGACATGCCACGCTAGTAATGTAAGAGCCAGAGAGATGTCGTGGTTAGAGTGCTGGACTAGAACCAGGGAAACCCAGGATAGAATTGCCACTTGGCCACAAATTAAACTGGGTGGCCATGGCCCAGTCAGTCTCTCTGTGTCTCTGAGTGGTTGAGAGGCTAAATTGGGTGACGAGAGACCCACCTTGAGGAAGTCAAGAGGAAAGAAAGGTGTTGAGGCCATCAGGGTAGATCTTCTGGGCAGAAGTCCAGGGCCCCAAACACAGCAGGGTTGGCTTCCCAAATATGTAAGTAAGTGAAGTAGTGCATATTGTTCTATAAACAGGCAGCAGCATAAGAGCATTCGGTCCATAGTCTTAAAACTAGAACTGCTACTGAATATAGGGTATTAATCTGCCCCTTTTGCTCCCAGATTATTTATACTAAGGAAAATGTATTCATGAAAACAAAGGACAGCACACTGTTGAGCTGCTTGTTCACATCAATGTTACCAGAGTAATATTGATGCTGCTGCCCACCTCCCCAGAATGCTCTTCTGTCCCACAGAGAAAAGGGCTATTTCCTAGGAAATGAAACAGCAAAGGAATCAGTCGTATTCATCATGTGACTTCACTAAGCTCCATTTTCAGCAGGGAAGGGACAGTTGAGGCAATTACTTCTAAGCACAGACAGTGACCCAGTTTGCACGTAGCACTCAGCCAAGAGAAGAGATTGCAGCCCTTTTGCTCCTCCTCGCTGGTCTTGCTGCTTCTGTGAGCTAAGCCATGGTTTGGCATAGCACATCATCAGAACATGGGCTTGTGGTTTGTCTCGCTCCAGACAGTTGTGAGTTGCAACCAAGGTCAGTTCTTTGTTTACAGCTCAGCATTTGCCTAGAGAAGCAAAGCAGCTGTGGTTTCCTCTACCCTTGAGTCTACACTTTCGCAGAATTATGGTTATGCCCTCCTGAATGATATCTAAAGCAGGCTATCACTCAGTTTCTGTTTACTTATATGAACATGGCCTAATCAGTGCTTTTCTCTTGAATCGCTAGGAAAATATGTCGAAACTGCAAGTGTGGGCAGGAGGAGCACGATGTTCCCACTAGTAACGAGGACGACCGCAAAGTGGGGAAGCTCTTTGAGGATACAAAATATACAACCCTCATTGCAAAGCTGAAATCGGATGGGATCCCTATGTACAAGCGCAATGTTATGATACTGACTAATCCAGTGGCTGCCAAGAAGAACGTGTCCATCAATACTGTGACTTACGAATGGGCACCTCCCGTTCAGAATCAAACCCTGGTGAGCTATCGTGATACAGTCTTGGAAGCTTTTATGAAAACTAGAAGGTATCCTTTTAACCAGGGTTTCCCAAACTTAGGTCTCCAAATGGTTTTTTTTTTACTACAGCTCCCATCATCCCTGGTTAGCAGGACCAGTGATCAGGGATGATGGGAACTGTAGTCCAAAAAACAGCTGGAGACCCAAGTTTGGGAAATCCTGCTTTAAACTGAAGGAGGGGTGGATTGGAGTGTATAGAACACCCAGGATTGGGGCCATATTTTGATGTAAAACAACAGGAAAATTTAAATGGAATTATTATCTCAGTAAGCCTGGTACCCCTCCAATTCCCCTCAGCCTTCAATAGCATCACCAGTGGTCCAAGACAGGAAATGTAGTCCAGTGCCCCTGGTTCTCCTGCTATAAGCCGTGTAAACATAATGAAGTGGGGTCCGGTGGTCAACTCCCCTTGCAAGTCTCTGATTGCTATAAAATAGTCACACAGTGGAAATGGGATGATTGTGGAAGCAAGAGGGGTGAGGTGGAGGAAAGAGGTCGTGTTAATGGCTAGGATAAAGCATTGCATTAGAGATGTTCGCCACCACTTAGGATGATTTACGACTTCCCAGATGAGCCCTTTCAAGAATACTTCCAGAAACAGGACATAGCATTGGAAAACCTGCACAATTTATGTCATTGTTTAAAAGCTGAAGAAAAGCACTCAAGCTTGCACATTTCTGTTACTGTATATGGTCAGAACGAATTCAGAGCTGGGATCCAAGCGAAAAGCTCCCCTTGGTTTATTAATGGCTCATCGAGATGCGATAGTTGGATAGCCTTGTTGGGCTTCCCCACCCAGCCCAACCCTGTGCATGTTTCAATCTTGAGTCAAGTTTATGTAGTGTCTTGCTGGCTGATCTAAAGCAGAAGGCTGGAGATGTGTGTGCAGCTTTGTAATCATAAGAGGGTTTTAGGGATTTTCAAGGGGAGGGGGGACTTCAGCGTGCAGAAGCAGTTTTTCTTCAGTTTTTCATGTATATCTTGCAGTACTTTATTTAATTTTAAGTTATTTAAACAAGCTAAAAATCCTTCGATCTCAATTCCAACCCTCACATGCTGGTTTTCCTCTGCGAGAAAGATTGCAATTAGCAGTCTGAAAGCTCTTGCAATGTCAGTATCTGAAAAGATTCAGTGTTAGCTAAACATTGTTCAAGCTGTTACTGCAGCGGAGTAAATGGCTGGGTTTTTTTTGTTGTAAAGCATGCACCCGCAGTGAGCTTCTGACTCTCAGCCCCAGTTACGTCCCTTCAGTTTCGCTGTCCACTTCTTGGTATCTGTTCGCGGCGAAGAGTAACAACTTCTGCTAAGCCCTGTTAATCTCCCCTTGGTTGCCTTCCTCCCCGCTGCCGCCCTCCCCGTTTATAAAAGCAGGAATCCCAAGGGCATCTGATAAACTAATTCTTGCAATCCCTCCGGACTCTTTAGGCAAGACATTATATGCAGATGCTTCCCAAGGAGAAGCAACCCGTGGCTGGCTCAGAAGGTGCTCAGTACAGGAAGAAGCAGTTGGCCAAGCAGCTGCCCGCACACGATCAGGATCCGTCCAAATGCCACGAGCTGAGTCCTAACGAGGTGAAGCAGATGGAGCAGTTTGTGAAGAAATACAAGAACGAGGCGCTCGGGGTGGGAGATGTCAAGCTGCCGAGCGAAGTGGAAGGCAAAGCTGCCGGGAAGGATGTCCCGACTAATGGGGAGAGAGGCACCCCAGCCACCGTAGGAGCCATGGAAGACAAACTGGCTGGTCAAAAGGCATCCCAATATGTAAGTGGGCATATATTGTCTATTTGTCTTCCTGTCTCTGTGTGTCTTGTGTGCTGCAAACAGGAGCAGAACTGTCGGTAAAGGGTAGCAAAACAATAGGGTTTTGTATTATTTTTGTATTATTTCACGCTGCAGCATCCTTTGCACAGGGTTTATATATTAAGTATTTTAGGGGTTTTTTTAAAACTATTGACTGTTTCAGCCTGCTGGTTTTGCAAGCTAAGAGCAACAGGGGCAGAAGGAAAACAGGGCAGAAGGGTCCTCCACTAAGGAAAACACAGTATGTTCTAAAATGTGACTGTTCTGGGCCTTGGAGGTAACTCCTGGGTAAAGGAAACATGGAAATCATAAAATTTGTAGAGTTGGAAAGGACTACAAGGGTCATCTAGTCCAACCCCCTGCAATGCAGGAATCTTTTGCCCAACGTGGGGCTCGAACACTGTGATTAAGAGTCTCATGCTCTACCGACTTAGAAGCATAGCATCCCCTAGCTGGGACAGACCTCAGACACCATCTAGGCCAGGGGTGGCTAACTGCAGCTCGGAAGCATGATTCCCCTCCACCCAGCAATTTTTCCTCACCCCAGATGATTTTGGCAGTGGCTCCAAAAAGAAAAGAAAATGGAACTTAGCACAGGGTAGGCAAGCCAGTTTAAACCTGTCCATCCCCCTGTTGGTCATGGTGCAACTGGAGAGTGAGTGATAATGCATGCACACACCTCTCAGCTGACCTGAGCACTGCGCATGTGCCTGTGTGCATTCAAGAGTGTGCAATAATAATAATTTTATTATTTATACCCCACCCATCTGGCTGGGTAGTGACCATGCCTACTTTGGGCCACAGCCAACATGGGCATGTGACCCTCGGAGGATTGGTCAAGGAAGAGTTCAGCCCTTGGACCACAACAAGCCACCCTGATCTACTCCGCCCCATGTCTCATTGCAGGAATCTTGTAGTCACAGCATCCCAGAAAGGATGGAATCATAGAGTTGGGTCTCCCAAGGGTGCTCTAGTCTAACCCGCTGCAATCCGACATCTGCTTAAATTTCTCCTGTGATGAAGGGCCCGCTGTTTCCTGAACCAGCTGGGTTCTCTGTTGAACAGCTCTTCTCGTCGGGAAGTTTCTTCTTAATACTTAGGCAAAGCCTGCCTAATTTCCATCCATGCGTTTTCTCCTTCAATCTGGAGCAAGTCTGCTCCATCATCTACATGACAGTCGTGCAGCTTCTACCAAGATATAAAATGCTATATTTAGTACCTGCATGAAGATCAATATTTTTTGTCTCTTGGGATGGCCGGAGAGTCTTGCTATATTTAAACGAGAGCCATTAGTTCTTGGAAGAAGCAGTGTGTTGTGGGTTTCTTTTCAAGGTGAAAACTGACGAACCGTACAGAAAAGGAAAACTCCCAAGATGAAGAGGGAGGGACTCCTAAGTGGAAGCTGGGGGGGTGGGGGGTGGGATGGCATCCCCAATTAAGTTTAATGAGGAAAGGCCTCTGCTTGAAATCAAACTAATAAATACAAAGGCTGACATCTCATGGCTTCACTTACTGTTGGCAGAAAGTATTAAGCCATATAAACAGCATTGATCCACTTATTACTTATAAGACTGAGTTAGAAGGAGCTGGCTGTAAATACTACACACTGCTGAGAAGACTCCACCCCTCTGGACTGTATTTAAGCCAGGCTGCTGTGGTCTTTTGGAGTCCCGAAAGGCCAACACTAGTATATCTAACCTTTAATTTACGTATTTATTCTGGGGGCAGTTGGTTTTCATTTAGCGCTTTCCTTGTCATACATTAAGCCTATATTAGGCACTGTTTTACCTTGTTTGAATGTACTGATGTGTAAAATGCAAAGGTGATTTCACAATGATGTGAAATCGTTATGAGACACAAACTGTTGTGCATTTGGGTCCCCCCACCCAAAAAAATGTTTATATATTTTTGTGAGCTGCCTTGGGTATAGTTTTTGCTGTGGAAAGGCTTGTCTGACGGATCTGAGCAGTTTTCTGTTTGCCTTCACTGCTTTCCCTGGGAAAACCCACTTTTTAGCACTGAGTTGGAGCAAACATCAATCTGCAGAAATCTGAATTACATTTGCTCCGGTTTAACAGTCAAGATTGGGTTTTCCCAGGGGGTAGGTAAAGGTAAAAGGTAAAGGACCCCTGGATGGTTAAGTCCCGTCGAAATTGACTATGGGGTGCTGCACTCATCTTCAGTTTCAGGCCAAGGGAGCCAGCGTTTGTCTGCAGACAACTTTCTGGATCATGTGACCAGCATAACTAAAGCACTTCTGGCACAGTGGGGTAAGTGGAAATCTGAATAAGCTCTATACATAAACTTTAAAATCTCTTGACCTCCTTGCAGTGCTGCTTCCGGTGCAAACTGAGCATGAAGGAAGGGGACCCGGCTGTCTACGCCGAGCGGGCTGGTTACGACAAACTCTGGCATCCGGCTTGTTTTGTCTGCTGCACCTGCGGTGAGCTCCTTGTGGATATGATCTACTTCTGGAAGAATGGGAAGCTGTACTGTGGCCGACACTACTGTGACAGCGAGAAGCCCCGCTGCGCTGGCTGTGATGAGGTAAGCAAGGTCCCCCTTCTGCTCTGCATCCATGGAAGAGGCCATGGAGAAAAGACCTGCCTGTAAAGATTTGCTGCCTTTTGACCAGGCCAAGGGAAGGGCCATAGCTCACCGGCAGAACATCTGCTTTCCACACGGAAAGTGCTAGGTTCAATCCCCGTCATCTCCAGGAAGAGCTGGGAGAAATCCCTGCCTGAAATCCTGGAGGGCCACTGTAGAAACCAGCATTTCTCAAACTTGGGTCCCCAGCTCTTGTTGGACTACACCTCCCATCACCTGTGACCACTGGCGCTGCCAGCAAGGGATGACGGGAGTTGTAGTCCAACAACCCAAGTTTGAAGAATCACTGCTATAGACTATACTTGATAGACCAGTGGCCTGATTCTGTACAACGCAGCTTCTTCCATTGCTGTCCATTTTTAGCCCAGCATTAGGATTTCACTAACAAGCAGGGCATGATGGTGAAAGGTAGCACCTGGCCCTAAAAAGTATACATCAGGGACATGACTCCATTACCCAAAGCAGAGAGGATGGGAAAGTCATTCATTCTTCTCCGTCTCTGGTTTTTAATCGGAGGGTGAAATAAATTTGGCAGCTTCTAAAGCTGGCTTCTCCTTTTGAGGTGGGCTTGAATGAACCCCCAGATTTCTTTCCTGAGCTTTGCTCAGGAGCACTTTGCCAACATCTCTTAGTCCTGAGCTGTGCAGGAGCTATAACTCCTTTTACCTGTAGCTCAGCTTGTGGGTCCTCCTTGTCGAGGGTTTGCCACAACCCCTGGAGCCTCTTTCTTTGTGTCCCATTTGCACTGTTTGTACATGTCAGATGGTGTTGGTGGTTGCTCGTGGGTAACCAGGCAGGACTCCGACCTGTCTTTTACAGGTTTTATTGTGCAAACTATTTACAGTGCAGACCAACAAAGTTCATGTCCATCTTAGTCATGCAGAATCCGGGAGTGGCTCCTTCCGGCTTCTCCCCCAGCATAAAACTTCGGTACCCCGAGCCTCCGCCTCCCCTCTTTGCGTTTCACCCCTCTGCGCAAGCTGGACAATGGAAGGGGCGTGCGTCCCTCCTACCCAGCCCAGCGAGGTGAGGCGCTGGGGCTCTCAACAGCATCGTCGAGCCGTTTGCCTGGCCTCTTCCCTCTCTTCTCCACTGGAGGTGTGGCTTTTCCCACCGCTGGAAGAGGAACTGCTCCTCAGGAGCTTCGGAGGCTCTCTGTATCCCACCGGCCCCCTGCCTCCCTCCCCTGTTCCAATGGCAGTCCCCTGACAGTACAGTACCCTCATTTTCTCAATACCTGGAAGGCGTTCATAAGGACGTAATATCCCTGCTTCATCAGGCCAGAGGCCCATCTAGTCTAAGGTTACCAGATTTTTTTCAATGAATCCGGGGACACTTTTCAACTTCAATAGATTTTGTATGGGGACTGATTTGTAAATCCAGGGACTGTCCCCGGGAAACGGGGACGTCTGGTAACCTTAATCTAGTCCATCATCCTGTTCTCACAGAATACCCATGGGAAGCCCACAAGCCATTCCTTTTTTCTCTGGGAGAGTCAAATCTCTGCTTTTTTGCATTCGCTGCTTTTGACAGAGATCTCCAAGAGGCCCTGGTGAAAAGGGCGGGAAACGGAACGATGAATGCAACAAACTGAAATGCACAGTGGAGCTATTTCATGTGGCCGAAAGTGTGTGTTTCCTTAGCATTGTAAAAAGTTCTAGAACAAAATACCGGGGTGGTTGTATTGAATGTGTACCTCCCTTCCCTGTATCCCTTCAGCTTATATTCAGCAATGAGTACACCCAGGCCGAAGGTCAAAGTTGGCATCTGAAACACTTCTGCTGCTTTGACTGCGACTGTGTCTTGGCTGGGGAGATCTACGTCATGGTAAACGAAAAGCCTGTCTGCAAACCGTGCTACGTGAAGAATCATGCCGTGGTAAGAGAGTCACGATTTGCCTGCGATGCATAACTACTTATGTACAGTTATGTGCCCAGATATGCTTTTTCATATCTTGCCTAGAACAGCGGTTTCTTAAAACACTGTTATCCATAACGAAAAACTACTGGCTTATCCATGCCCCACCCCAGCGTGGTGGTTGTCAGCTAAGTTTTAATCGGAGTAGACTTAATGAAAATAATAGACCTAACATAGTCATAGAATTGTCGAGTTAGAAGACACTTTATGGGTGATCTAAGCCCAGACCCCCTGCAATGTAGGAATGTTCATTAGTGTCAATGTTTAAGGATGTTGGTTTATTGATGTATACTCTTGAGTAGAACTTGGTTTAATACCACCCAATGTTTTGTCTTTGACAGTGTTTCCTGTAAGCAATTCATTCACCATCAAGGTCTCCTCTTATCACATGTTTTGTTCAGCATCTACACACAAACTCTTGGGAATGGCCAGCTTAGGCAAAAAGACTGGTAATATCAGGAATGTGCTGGTGACACACAGCTACTCCCGTTTTGTTCCAGAGTAGGGGGGAAAACTGAGATTACGCTAGTAAGGAAGGGAAGTTTGTATGAAGGTGCCCTATCCTCTTGTCATCGTCCTGCATGCTGAAGAGCAACCAAGTTCAAGTAAAGATTTTGTGTATTGTCCTTGATCACTTTGAACAGTTTGTGTAAACCATCCCTTTGCTTGACTAAAGTTGACCTTGCCACCATGTCTCCTTCCCAGATCACTCCCATGAGACGTGGGGTTTTTTATGGCTCTTTTTATGAGCTTCCAGGGGTGCTCCTCCATCACTTGCAATTTCTGCAAAACGGAGAAGTACTATTGCTAGTTTAGGCCAGTGGGAGAGCATGATGTTCATATTTCATTGCACCTGCTCGCCCTCGATTCAAAGGAATCATTATTGACTTCCAGTGCTCTAACTGTACCAGAGATCTGGATGTCAAACTTTGCTCTGGTGCCTGAATAAATGCAGACATAAAACAACAGGGGGCTGGGATTTAATTTCATTTGAATAGACCCAATGTACCTTGAGTATAAAACCCCTGGGGCAACTGTCCTTGTCTAATGCTTTCATAGAGCACTGACTCTCCTGCTATCTTCTAGACTGAAGTTTTTGTCAGTTTCACTGCATTGTCCAAAATTGTGGACAGCCGTTGTATTTCTTGTGAAGTCCACACAGCATGACCACCAGGGGAGTATCTCAGTGTGTGCAGTCTTATAAATATTATTCTTTAAAATGCAGTGTCAAAGAATGAAATGTTTTTAAAACATTGTTTAGCATCTGCACCAGTTAGTCCAAAGTTAATTACTTCCTCATTCGGGTTCCTGGGTTTCCTTTGTTCTACTTACAATGCTGCTTTTTGTAGCTTTTTTTATTATTTATTATTGTTCCAGTTTGGTTTTTCCTTCTCTTAATGAGTGTTTTCTGTCTGTAGTTTCGCTTAGCTTTTTTGTGTGTGCTTCTTAATCTGAAGTTCTTAAATTCAGCTTTCCCACTGATAGAGCAATTATTCATCAGGACACTCTGTCTCCCCTCTTGTTCTGACCATTATCTGAAATGAACTGACTGGAAAACACTTCTTTGTGTTTCTTCAGGGCATCTATTTCTTTCCCCCCCACAAGAACTTTGGGAAAAAATCTTACACTCACTGACTCACATTAAAATAGAGAAGTGCAGAATTTAAGAAGTTGCAAAAGGGGTGGCCTTGTTCTCACAGTAGATGAAGCAGTGAGTGTACCACTGCAGGGGGGAGTTTGCATAATTGAATAACCCTCCATACAAAAACACAAGAAGCGCAAAGTCTTGCATGTATAAAACTAGCATGCCAGAGAGATAGGAGCTCTTTTGGGCACAGTCATTCCATGCTGATTAACGACTGCTTGGAAAGGAAGAGCAGGGTTGTTGAGACTTGGTGGGGGATATCCAATGAAGTAATATTCGAAACAGACCTACTGAAATTTATTGGACTTGTTACTTAAGTCTATTGCTTTCAGTGGGTCAGATCTGAGCATGACTAACATTGGCTATCACCCAGTATATATGTACAGACTTACCTGTAAGCAGAGATGAGATGGTTCAGTTGGTAGAGCATAAGGATCTTAATCTCAGGTGCCTGGGTTCAAGACCCAAGGTGGGCAAAAGGTTCCTGCATTGCAGAGGGTTGGACTAGATGGCCCTTGTGGTCCCTCCCAATTCTATGATTCTATGAATAGGTGGTTCAACTCAGTCTGTAGACTTGCTATCAATATTTTTCTCCCTGCTTTCATGATCCTTCAACGAGGCATCCATCCCTGCGACTTTTCAGTGCGCTTATTTTAGCATTGTAGGAATTTGCATCTCATGGCTCCTCACCTATAGGATAGACAGGCTGGTTCATCAATCCACAGTACAGTGTTCGCAGTTTGCACAATATCGCCACCAAGTGGAGGCCTGTGGAAAGCACTCAGTATAGCTGCTCTTGCCTCAAGGAAGAACAGGCCAGATCCACAGAATGGGCAAACAGTAGGCTTTGACTTTTCTGCCTGCAGAGGATCCCTTTCTGCGAGGGGAAATCCAGTCCTCAGCCTTTACCTTTTCTACATTCCACAGGCAATTTCAAGGCACAAAGGAGAAACCAAGGATGTTGAGTAATGTTGTCATTGTGGTAAATTATGTTACAGCTGAAGCAGTGTTAGAAACTTGGATATATAAGCTAGGCACCAAAAGATTCCTTAAACCAGGGTTACAGAATCCCCAGTTGTCATTTTTGGGCAAGACAGCTTGAAAGTCATATTTTTCAATGTGACTTTTTGGTTCCTGAAAATCATTGTGATTGTGCAGATAAAATATAACAGGTAGGATTCTACAGGATGTGTTGCCAATCTGTGAAAACAGTCAAGGTTGAAGGATCCTCAGGTGGTGCCTCTAGGTGGTGGAGGCACCATCCTGGCACCCGGGCATCTTTAGTTGGTCACAAGTGGCCAATTTGTTGTCGTTTAGTCGTGTCCGACTCTTCATAACCTCCTGGACCAGAGCACACCAGGCACTCCTGTCTTCCACTGCCTCCCGCAGTTTGGTCAAACTCATGCTGGTAGCTTCGAGAACACTGTCCAACCATCTCGTCCTCTGTCGTCCCCTTCTTCTTGTGCCCTCCATCTTTCCCAACATCAGGGTCTTTTCCAGGGAGTCTTCTCTTCTCATGAGGTGCCCAAAGTATTGGAGTCTCAGCTTCAGGATCTGTCCTTCCAGTGAGCACTCAGGGCTGATTTCCTTCAGAATGGATAGGTTTGATCTTCTTGCAGTCCATGGGACTCTCAAGAGTCTCCTCCAGCACCATAATTCAAAAGCATCAATTCTTCGGCAACCAGCCTTCTTTATGGTCCAGCTCTCACTTCCATACATCACTACTGGGAAAACCATGTCTTTAACTATATGGACCTTGGCAAGGTGATGTCTCTGCTTTTTAAGTGGCTGATAGCCAGGTGCAAAATGTGCCTGGCGAAATTCAAACGCTGAGCCGAAGTCATAACAACATCTGTATTGAATATGCTGCGTTTCGTTGTCTTATAAAGCTGGAAACAAATGCATTTTTCATTTCTCTTGTCTACTCTCTAGGTCTGCCAGGGTTGCCACAACGCTATCGACCCCGAAGTTCAACGTGTGAGTTACAACAATTTCAACTGGCATGCCACCACAGAGTGCTTTCTGTGCTCCTGTTGCAGCAAGTGTCTCATTGGCCAGAAGTTTATGCCGGTAGAAGGAATGGTTTTCTGCTCGGTGGAATGTAAGAAAAAGATGATGTCCTAATGGGAAGAGAACCCGGATCAAGCCAAGTTTCGCTTTACTTCAGAACCCTCTGCATTTCTACTGTATTGGGGCGTTTTTTAAACAAAATTGAACGTATTAAATGGCATATTCCAAAGATTTTTTTTTTAACATTTCTAACTTGATAGCTTCCGATTAAGTACTTCCAGCACTTCTCTTACTACTTTGTTACTACTTGTTGCAAATGTTACTCACATATAGGGAGCCTGATATTCCTGGTGTATTTCAAAGACTAGATGCTCTAAAGTCTTCTTTTATACACATTTTAAAACAAACTGTGTAAAAATAAAACAATGACTTGGTATGTTGTAAATCAGTGTTTCCCAAACTGGGGTCTCCAGCTGCTTTTGAACTACAATTCCCATAATCCCTGACCACTGTTCCTGCTAGCTAAGGATGATGGGAGTTATAGTCCAAAAACAGCTGGAGACCCAAGTTTGGGAAACACTGTTGTAAATGTTATACCCTACTCCAGATGTTGCTGGACTACAACTCCTTTCATCCCTGACCATTGGCTATGCTGTCTGGAGCGGATGGGAGTTGGAGTCTAGCAACAAATAGAAGGCCACATGTTTTGGGTTCTACCATTTCAAAAAATCTCACAAATACCACAATATATGGGGGGAATTCTAAGCTTAGAATCCTTTTCCTGACATGCTTGCTTCATATGTGAGGTGAGATTTTGAATGTGTGAAGTAGCATTCAAACATTTGAATTTCTCACTTTCAGTCTGAAGCATTACAAGTCCAACCACTGATCATATTTGTTAGCGTGCCGATTCTGTACGGCAGCCCTCAAACATAATTAGGCAGAAATAAATATTTTTAAGCCTTCCTGCTTCCACTGAGCATCTTAAGCAAATGCCCCAAAGCTTTGGCTCCAACCTTTAATATTTGCATTAAAATACTTTCCCTTCTTTGTTAGGTTTAAACTGTTTTGTTTTTTAAAAAAAGCAGCTGTGGACTTTTTGGTGCTTAGAATGTGACTTGCTCTCTATTAATCTGAAGTTTCTGTGCCTCTTTCTCTGTCCTCTTCCAATCAAGCTTGTTATCAAGTGTGTCCATTTTGTCTCTTCATTTTATGTATTGTCCAGAATTATAGGCAATAGGAAAGATTTAAATTTGCCCATGCCTCTGCACATGAATGAGATTTCTAATACAGGGCAGCTACACCTGGAGACCACAGGTTGTCAACCCCTGGAGCAAACAGTATATAGGCTAATGGGTTTGATTTTGTATAAGGCAGCTTGCAAGCTAGTGCAGTTATTGCGATGCTGAAATTTCTTTATAACGAATGTAAGAAGGTACACAGCAAAGGAATGTGGGCTCTTGGCTTTGTAAACTATGCAAACTCTTTCCATTCAACTCTCCTAAGACTAAAGAAATGTGCAAACTTATATTCATGCTCTCAAATAAAACTTTTACCAAACCGTTTGCTAGCTTGAAATCTTTCGTTTGCCTCTTGGTAACTGTAATGAAAAGGCTATTCCAGAAGGGGGTGATAGTTTCAAAGACAAAAAAAAGTGCTCTGACCAATTTGAAGCTTTCGATAATACAGTTGCGAAGAAAAGCGGTGTTTTCTCTTCCATAGATTTAAGTGCTTAATGGTCTGTCTGGATAAAACTGGGCATTAGACTCTTAGCTCTGTAAATTTGTTTCTTGAAGCTTTGCATTAAAATCTCTTAGAGGGTATGTGGTGTTAGCAAATGTGACCCATGGCAATGATTCAGTGGTTTTAATACATATATTCAGAAATAGGCATACCTAGTAGGTTTCCCTTGTTCTTCTCGGACCAGGCGTGGTGCTTCACATACCTACCAAGAGGTGAGGGTCCTACATCCATGCAGAGTTCTCTTACTTTTGCTGGGGGGGGGGAGGCAAAACAAAACCAGAGACTTCGAATTGCTCAAACGATAGCACTTTTTGGACCCTTGCATCACCTGGCTCTGGTAAAATGGAATAGTAATAAAAATGGAACCTTTACAACTGCAAGAGGAAACAAGGTGCGATTATTTTTCTGAACAGCTAACAATGCAAGAATCATTTCTGCATTCCTTTGTGCTTGCAGGAGATTCGTCTGAAAACCTAGGCACTTAGAAGCTAACAATAAGATTAGGCTCTTCTTTTGCAAGCTTTCCAGGAACAAAAGGTAAAAGTAGCTTTTATAGTTCAAAGGAGCTAAGGCCTCAGGTGTAATTTATCCCAAGATACGCCAGACTCGCAACTGCTTATTTCTCTTAAGAAAAGCTTGATGAAACCTTTTCATTCAGAAAAGCGCATTGGGCAAAAGATGCTAAATGACTACAGTGGTACCTCTGGTTAAGAACTTAATTCGTTCCGGAGGTCCGTTCTTAACCTGAAACTGTTCTTAACCTGAGTACCACTTTAGCTAATGGGGCCTCCAGCTGCTGCAGCGCGATTTCTGTTCTCATCCTGAAGCAAAGTTCTTAACCCGAGGTGCTATTTCTGCGTTAGCAGAGTCTGTAACCTGAAGCGTCTGTAACTTGAAGTGTCTGAAATACAATAAACAAGAAATAAATAGCAGTATATGAGAAATAAAAGGAGCAATAAAAAGCACCTTACAGCACCTAGCACTGTGCATTACAACAGGCAGAGAAATCAAGCAGTCTGCAAAGACCCTCAGCAATTTTCAAGCGGTCCGTGGCTTTCAAAGATTGGGAACCACTCGTGCAGGTCATAAGCAAAGAGGGAAGGGACATGAAATGAAAGCAAAGGATTGGCTGGATGCAGAGGAATGGTGGGAAAACCACCAGGGGAAGAAGACTCAGAGCCCAGGGAGTGGTGGTGGGACAAGGATGAGTAGTCCGAGGAAGAAGGAGGAAAAGACTGTGAAGAGGAGGTGTCAGAAGCTTATTGAGCTGGGAGAGTCTGTGGAAGAAACAAGTCCAGATTCAGAGGCCGAAGCAATAGGGTGGGAGGAGAGAGACCATGAAGCATAGGTGGGTCAGGCTTGTGAAGAGGCTGAGGTGTCTTCCCCCTCCCAATCTGACAAGCTCCCCTTCCCCCTTGTCTCCCAGAACCAGAAAAGTCATGAAAAGGGTAGAAGAAGAGGTTGGCCACATACAGGGACAGTCTCTGATTGCTTGGTGGGGGAAACCCTAGAGAGAAGGGAACGTAAGCGGCATTTCAGAGGCAGGGACCTTCAGTCTCAGAAACTGCTTCATGAGGGCAAGACCTATTGGAGATTAACGGCTGTACTCATTTGGCCTGACACTCCAATGCAGATCTTGTTGTTGCTAATAAAGAGTTAGAATCCTAGAATTGTAGAGTTGGAAGGGACCACAAGGATCATCTCGTCCAACCCCCTGCAATGCAGGAATCTTTTACCCCTACAATCCTGAGATTAAAAGTTTACTGACTGAGCTATTTGGACTAACTCCAACTTGCACAGTGTGATTTACTGCTGGCTCACTCCTAACAAAGAGATTAGAGGTCAGGGCATCAGAAGAAGAGTTGTCTTTTTTCAGATACAGTGGTACCTTGGTTTACGAACTTAATTGGTTCTGGAAGTCTGTTCTTAAACCAAAGCGTTCTTAAACCAAGGTGTGCTTTCCCATAGCAGCGGGGGACTCAATTTACAAATGGAACACACACAACAGGAAGCGAAACATGTTCTGCTTCCAAGGCAAAGTTCACAAACCAAAACACCTACTTCCGGGTTTGCAGCGTTCTTAATCCAAGTTGTTCATAAACTAAGCTGTTCTTAAACCAAGGTACCACTGTACTTTTTAAACCACTGCAGGGAGCAGATGGTAAGAGACAGGTGCAGATGTCAGAAGGCAGAGTGTCCCACAGAAGAGGGATTCAAATGCAGATCCTTTAATTTTGTAGCTGAAGTATTTTTAACAGAGAGGTGGTAACAACAATGTATTTTTTTAATACCTCTATGGGGGAAAATATTTAAAAACTCCACTAACATACTAACCCATTTCCTGACCACCAAATTAAAGAGAATTCCTGCCTCTCCTTTAAATACTTGGTGCAATTTCAAGCACAGAATGGCAAAGCACAATGTGAAGCTTATATTTACGAAGCTTTGTAATCATTCCGTGAAGTTCAAGATGTTTGGCAGAGCTCTGGAAAACTTAGGAGGCAATAAAAGGTTACCAGCAAGAATGCAGAGCAGCCTTGTATGGTAACAAAATGTACACTAGTACATATTTCAAGAATACACTGTGTCTCTTATATCGAGGGTTGGGCTGTTGTATAGTTGTAAAGCTCTTGTTGCTTAGAAGGCACCAAAATGTAAATACTCCTTTGAGGAGGGTGGGTGGGAAGAGTTGTATTAAATAGCCATGAAGAAAACTGTGAACACTCGGGATGGTTTTTCTGCTTGCCAAATCATTTGCATAAAAGCCCCAATCCGAATTAATATAGTTTCCAGTTGCTTTCAAACACTATCCATAGACTAATGTGGTAAAACAATGGGATGTGAGTGTAGTATGGACCTCACATCTTTCAACACGCTCCTACTTGATCTCCCACTGTAATACATGCTCGGATTAGTACCGTATTTTTCGCCCTATAGGACGCACTTTTTCCCCTCCAAAAATGAAGGGGAAATGTGTGTGCGTCCTACGAGGCGAATGCAGGCTTTCGCTGAAGCCTGGAGAGCGAGAGGGGTTGGTGCGCACCGACCCCTCTCGCTCTCCAGGCTTCAGGAAGCTATCCGCAAGCCTTGGGAGCCCGCGGGAGTTCCTGCCGGGCTCCCAAGGCTTGCGGAAAGCAGCCTGCAGCCTGAAACCCGGGGAGCGCACCCTGGCTTCGGGCAGATATCCGCAAGCCTGGGGAGACCAGTGGGAGTTCCCGCCGGGCTTCCTAGGCTTGCGGATAACAGCCTGCATCCTGAAGCCTGGGGCGTGCTGAGCAGTGCTTCGGGCAGATATCCGCAAGCCTGTATTTACAAAATGGTAATTAAGTGGGTATTATTTATTAATTCTGCCAAAAAGCAATGCTGAGCCCTGGCCAAGGACTTGCTCTCCTCCATAAACTTCCATCTTACGAACAACTCTTCCCCATCCCCACCTCTTCCCTATTAACTTTCTGCTTCCCCAGTAATTGTAATGTTCACTGGTTGCTTCTTGAATGTCTTTCTTTGAGATCACTCAGCACCAGCGCGCCCCGGGCTTCAGGCAGATATCCGCAAGCCTGAGGAGGCTTGCGGATAGCAGCCTGTTCTGGGGGCTCGGGCTTCCCCCGCCCCAGCCCCACACCTGGGGGGGGGAATAAAATTTTTTTATTTATTCCCCCCCCCCGAACTAGGTGCGCCCTATGGGCCGGTGCGCCCTATAGGGTGAAAAATACGGTACTTCCTGGGGCTCTGCAAAGAGCCAAGTGTTGAAAAACTACAAGCTATACAAAATGCAGAACTTACCTGCCCAGGGTTCCCCAACCCTTTTAGGCTCATGGGCACATTTGGGTGGGTGCCACCCTCCTTTTCTCCCCTCTCCTCCAGATTAGGATTTTTCACCATCCTTACTCCCAAGTAGGGCTGGAATTCTAACCCCGGGGTGGATCTACACACGGGGGGGGGGGTGCTATAAATAAACCAGAAATTAAATTGTTATAACAAAAGGGGGGGGACCCGCTATGTAAAAACCGCATAGACAATTTTTTTGCTCCCCGGCGCCATCTCATGTTGCATGTTTATAATGCACTCAAAACATTGGCTTTTTTTTACTAATGTAGCTGAGTCCCAACTTAATTGGGAGTAAGGCCCATTGAATTCAACACTTCTGAGTAGACATGGTAAAGATTATGCTGTGTGCAGCCTTAGTTCCAAGTATGTGTTGCACCCAATGAATCCAACAGGATTTACTTATAAGCAGATATGCTTTGGCTTATAATGTAAGTGTAAAAATAAAGGTAAAGGTACCCCTGACCGTTAGATCCAGTCGCGGATGACTCTGGGGTTGTGGCGCTCATCTCACTTTACTGGCCGAGGGAGCCGGCGTTTGTCCGCAGACAACTTCTGGGTCATGTGGCCAGCATGACTAAGCCGCTTCTGGCGAACCAGAACAGCGCATGGAAATACCGTTTACCTTCCTGCCGGAGTGCTACCTATTTATCTACTTGCACTTTGACATGCTTTCAAACTGTTATGTGGGCAGGAGTTGGGACCGAACAATGGGAGCTCACCCCGTTGTGGGGATTCGAACCGCCGACCTTCTGATCGGCAAGCCCTAGGCTCAGTGGTTTAGACCACAGAGCCACCCGTGTTCCTTACAATGTAAGTGTCCTTAAGCTAAATTTATTTGTTATATGGAGTCTTAAATTGTATGAATGATATCGAAATGGAAACCAAAGCATTTCTTGTCTAATCCTATTACTAGCAGTTTGGTTGGTAATTATCACAGTGTTTTCTTTTCCAAATATGTAGAAGTATTTGTTAAACCTCGACAATATTCGGTTGC